CACCGAAGAGAGCTCATTGGGAGCACTCAGCACCAAATGTATGTCCTTTTGACCGTTCCCGAACCGTTGGCTATACATGAAACTCAGTGTGAGAGAGAAGTCAATCCTCTCTAATCCTGTCAATTCTCCCTCGGGAATGTCTGACCCTTCGAGCAGCCACCGTTGATGCCGACGGTCTAGGAGCTCCTTCCAGGTATTGCATACCAGCCTCAATGCTTTTCGTCGACTTTCTACGAGTCGATAAGATTGGACAGACGCATCGGGAAGGTGTCTTTGAGAGGAGATGAACTGATGGAAATTTGTCGCGTCACAAGAGGTGTCAAAGACGAGCGGCACGTGTATGGCAAACTCGAGTATCTTTTCCCATATCTCTGGAGGGAGGTAGGGCATCCTTCTCGCCTTTAGCGTCAATGGCCACGATGGCCAACAACCTGACAACAAGCGTCTTGATCTGATGACGATTGGTTGCCAACTCGCTCGTTTCTTGAATTTCCCGTATCTTTTCCCGATACTTGAGGCCCAAGGCGTGCGTAGAACTTGAAATTTGTCCTCGCAATTGTAGACTGTCAGAGAGATGATCTGGAGGACCCGAGTCCACAACAACGTCTGTTCAAGGAGGCTATGAGAGAACAAGTGCCGTAGAACAAGTACTGAGAACCCTCCTATGATTGCTCCAGATATGATAACTGTGCTCTTCCATTCTGGAAAAGGTGTTCTCCTCGGACGCATGGCCAAGCAGTGACAGGAGCTGCCAGTTGCTTAGATAGACGCGGGGAAATGTTGCAAATTAGATACTTTGATATGAAGGTAGAGTTGCATTGGATGTGTCTCGAGGCTAGTTCATGAGATCTTGTTGGTGGTCGGGTGAAAGTCGTGGTGTATTGAGTTGTGCCACTGAGAACCCTTCTCGCATGTCTCTTTTGTCAATTTCATGTTATAAAAATGCGGGAGGAACATCAATCGAATAGTATGTACATATGACAAGAACTCAAAGGAACATGTCAAATATCGCTCACCCATGCGTATTGAGGGGAAACAAAGGCAGTACGGATTAAAGTAACTAACCACCAGATAACCAAACCTACAAAGGCTATCCTCGATGCACTCAACTCGCTTGAAGATTCGAATGACGTCATCTCGAGGTATGGAGCGACGATCGTTTTTGGAATGGCATCCCATGGTACCCGCCCAGTACTTTGTTTCTATGCAAGATGACTAACGTCTGTCTAGCTCGGTTTAGAGACATTTTGTACGAGGTCCTATCGATACGTGCGCCAATACGACATTTCATGCCAGAGCTATCCCCCAAAGATGCAGACCTATTTCTGCAAAAGATGGAACACTATGGACTGCTCAAGGAGCTGTAACGTAAAGTTTCGATTGTTAAGTTTTGGTTTATTTTGTTATTTGTAACCTATATTGTTACCACGACTGGTAGAAATCTCCTCATTGAATCACCGCAGCGAACTGTTACGACCTGCAACAATGAGATCGACGTCCTACAACCAGATAGCAGTCGTCGCATGGCTCTAATGATCCCATTTACATTTCTTTCCCTATGTCACGTTTCGAGAGAGGTGCCATAGCCATTGACCAGAGCCTTTGTTGATCACTTTCATGTGGCTAACAGTTGAGCCGACCATGGTCAACCTTGTTCCTTTACATCATAATCGACCACGCTGCCTACGAGATCATGGCAACCTTAGGATGGAAATCTCTCTGCTTTATATCTGGACTAACCATTGGAGGGATATTGGCCCCATTGCTGGAGATATTGCTCCCTCGTTGGCTTTTTGAGCAAATGTTGCTGTGGAGTCGGATCGCTCAGCTTGGTGCTTTCTTACACATCGTTTGTAAGCCTTATACATGCCCGCAAATGGGGTATTCGAGATATTCGGTAGAGTAGATTGGAGATGAAC